CTTTTCTTTCTTTCCTTTCCTTCCTTCCTTCCTTCCTTCCTTCCTTCCTTTCTTTCTTTCTTGAGATCATAATATGTTGTCTTGGACTCCTGGGCTCAAGTCATCCTCTTGTCTCAGTCTCCTGAGTGTTGGGACCACAGAAGTGGACCTCCACACCCCTCTTTACTGTCTGCTTCTAAAGAAGCACGGGAAGCAGCAAGTGTTTGTGTTGCTCACTTAGGCTAGAGGACTCCCTACTCCAGCCATAGCTTTCTCCACACAGTGCCCTGGGGAGCTCCAGGGGGCACAACTTCCAACTGAGGAATGGAAAGACATACTGAAGGCCTCTTTTGGGGGGCTCTAGAATGGGGTGGAGAGCAGGACACCAGGTGTCTCAAAGGACCCAGTAGATTTCTCCCCAAGCAACGGTCCCACATACATGTTCTAAACCTTGGTCTCCCTGAATCTCAGAACACCCTCCTTCGGGAAAGTGATTCTGGCTGGCCGAGCTGTGTCCTTAGTGCCTAGCTGAAGAAATCAGAAAAACAAATAAAAAAAAACTACAGATGATCCAGCCTCTTGATGCCATTCCTGTCTGCTCATTAAAGAAGACATTGAAGGACTGGGGCGATGGCTTGGTGTGCAAGAGTGTGTGCTAGACAGTTTTATATCAACTTGACACACTAAAGTCATCTGAGAAGAGAGAGCCTCAACCAAGAAAATACCTCCTTTAAGATCAGGCTGTGAGTGCATGCCTTTAATCCAGAGATACACAGAGAAATCCCTGTCTTCAAAAACCAAACCAAACCAAACAACAGAACAAAAAAAACCCACATTGTAGGCAAGCCAGTAGGACATTTTTTGAGCCCGGGTGTTTCTCTGTGTAGCCCTGGCTGTCCTGGAACTCTCTCTGTAGAGCAGGCTGGGCTCAAACTCACAGAGATCCACCTGTCTCTGCGTCCCGAGTGCTGGGATTAAAGGTGTTCTCTGCCACCGCCCGGCCAAGTAGGACATTTTTTAAATTAGTGATTGGAAGGGAAAGATCTAGCCCATTGTGTGCAGTAACATCCTGGGCTGGTGGTCCTGGGTATTCTAAGGAAGCGGGCAGAGCAGCCCATGTGGAGCAGGCCAGGAAGCAGCACCCCTCCTGGCTTCTGTATCAGCTCCTGCCTCCAGGTCCCTGCCCTGTTTGAGTTCCTGTCCTGGCTTCCTTCACTGATGGACTACAGTGTGCAAGTGTAAGACAAACAGACCTTTTCCAAGCTGTTTTTGGTCATGGTGTTTTACTACAGCAAAAGAAATCCAAGACAGAATACTTTGTAAGCAAAGGTTAGGACCTGGTTGGGTTCAAATCGCCAGCACCCATGTAAAAAGCAAGATGTAGCTATAGACACCTATAACCCAGAGCTCTGGGGGTGGAGACAGTATTACTGGGGCTTGCTGGTTGTCAGCCTAGTTCAAGACGCAGTGAGAGTCCCTGTCTCAAGGGAATAAAATAAAAAGAGACAGAGAAAGTCAGGCGGTGGTGGTGCACGCCTTTAATCCCAGCACTCGGGAGACAGAGTCAGACAGATCTCTGTGAGTTCGAGGCCAGCCTGGTCTACAAGAGCTAGTTCCAGGACAGACTCCAAAGCTACACAGAGAAACCCTGTCTCGAAAAAACTAAAAAAGAAAGGAAGGAAGGAAGGAAGGAAGGAGAAAAGCAAAGAAAAGAAAAGGGAGGGGGACAGAGAAGGACACCAGACATCTTCCCCTGGCCTCCATGTGTAACACACAGACACACACACATGCAGAGACACAAGCAGACACACACAGACACACACATACACACACCCCAAATTCACCTCCTTCTTAATTCCCACAGCACCGTGACCACAATCTAACTGAAACAATGTAAAGAAGGAAAGATGAATTTTCAGCTTGTGGTCTCACAGGGTTTCAGTCCATGAAGGCAGGGGAATGTGTGGGGAAGGGTGTTCACGTGACATGGAGGTGGTGACTCACGGCTGACAACTTGCCTCAAGCTGGCTTATAATGTCCACAACATCAAGCTTACCCCTCACCACAGAGACAGCCAAGTCACCTGGATGCAGGAAGGGCCTCCAATTCCAGAACATTCCAGCTGTGGGCTGGTGAGTCATGGGCCAGAACGAAGCTTAGCTTCCAGGACCGTTCATGGGAAGGACAGACAGACAGACAAGGACTACAGAAGAGCTCGAGGAAGTCAAAGGCTCTTAAAAGGTAGTGACCGTGGATGGCCAGCCGGGCTACACGCGTAACCCCCACCACATCTCATCCTTTTGCCAGATGAGAATTCAGTCCACTCTGTCAAGACACCAGTTGCAAGAGTGAGACCGAATGGCTGGGAACTGGCTGAGTCCAAAGCTGAACCCTGGAGGCCCGTCCTGCCCACAGCCTTGACCTCCATTATCTCCATCCATGACAAAGTGTACCCCAGCTTCGCCAGGGCCACTGATAACTCCTGTGATGTCCAGATGACAGGAGAACCAATGCCCAGAGACCTGTGGCCTTCCCTAGACTTCTCCATCGAGGCTTGGAAGACACCAGAAGAAAGAGGAACCTTGACTCCCCAGCTCCCTCCTCCTGTGTGTCCCCAACAGTACCTAGGAGTTGTCTGGGTGTCTGCTCAACTGCTTCCTCTTCCCAGCATCCCCAGCTTCCCCCTGAAATCTGTCTTGGGACTTTTGATGCCCCCGTGGTCTGGCTTTGTCATCCACTCTGAATGTTTATTGTACTTAGAAGACAATACACTAAGCCTAGAATAGTATTCTTTTGATAAAATCTCAGCGCCTCGTGGTGGCACACCAGGCCTCCTTGGGCAAACTTCTCTCTATGCACCTCCCTTCTCTTCCCACCCAGGGCTTCTTCTATGGTTATATTCTTCCTCAATCTCAAATTCAGGAGCTTTTCCACCTCAGGGCCTTTCCACTGGCTAGTCTTGCTTTCTGAGGCTTGCCAACTTATTTCACTCAGTTGGAGTCAGGGGGCATTTCCTCAGGGAAGCTGTTCCCACCCAACCTCTTCTTTGTAGACACTCTGTCCCAGAGTCCAGATCAGGCTACTTCACAGACTGAACTTTTTTTTTTTGAGACAGGATCTCTATATGTATCCCTGACTGCCCAGAAATTGACTGACTAATGTAGACCAAGTTGGACTTGAACTCACAGAAATCCACCTGCCTCTGCCTCACTAGCATTGGGATTAAAGGTGTGCACCATCACATCACAGACTGGGTCTTGAGCCTCTACTGGACACAGGATCCCTGGGTAGAAAGCTGTGTGCCAGGAACCCTTTGCTAGCCTGGGCTTGGCTCAGGTTGGGTGTTTTGGGGAAGGGTCACTATGAAGACAATACCTGGAGCAGTAATATAGTGTGGTCCGGAAGGCTCTAGATCCAGGAAGGACCTCAAAAATATACCCAGAGTTTTAGATGTCTAACACATAACTAACCCTCTAACTAAGCTGAAGGGTTCCCAAGGCACTGCAGACAGCAAGAAGTAACCTGCCCATTGTGAGGGCAACTTGGCCCCAAGGTATCAGGCTAGTGCAACAGTAGGTTTTAGAGGACCAGCCTTGGAACCAACCATCACAAGGCATACTTTTGTTTCCTGAAACATATGTGTCCAGGCTAATGCCCCCTGAGAGGAGACTCTCTTACGTGAGAGAGAAAGCCCAAATCTATAGCACAGGATGGGCTCACTCTGGACAAGTGGCCACGGGGATGGAATAAAAACCCAAATCACTAGTCATGAGTGACACCCCTACAGTACTCTCAGGTTGACACCAATACCCATTTCACAGATGAGGAAATAGAGCTGCAGGGTGAGCACGGTGAGGCCCCTCAAAGGTCATGTTTGAGATCCAGCAGCTGTTGTAGCAAGAGTGGGAGGCAGGGACCGTAGGAGGGCTGGGTCACTAAGGACACTCACTGGGCCCCTCAGGAGTAAGTCCACACTGTCTGAGGACTGGAAGTTACCATGAGAGTAGGTTGACCCATGTTTACCTACTTGACCCGGTTCCCCCACCACAGTTGAGTCAAGGCTACAGCCTCTTTAGACGAGGCTGTTCAGTTGGGGATTTTCTATCTGCCAGAACCATGAGCCAGAATACACTTTTTTCTTAATAAATTTCACAGTCTCAAGTGTTGAGTCCTAGCAACAGATGATGATAGTATTCAAGGGATCAAGCAAGCTCTCTGGTTGGTCACTGGGAGAGCTGGGATTTGAACCTACATCTGAGCACCGGTTCCCTAGGTACAAGGGGAGACACTCAGAGAGCAATAGCTAGGGACAGGACCTCTGCATGAACACTCTCACGCCTACTCCCGGTGAGGATGGCGTACTCACTGTTGGGAAGCAAGGTCAAGAGGGAAAAAGAAGTTTGGGGAACTCAGCCCCCTTGTCCCGTCACAGGGACCAGTGCCAGGTCTTGGGATTCTTTCTACAGGACTGCTTTGGGAAGAAACAGCATCAAAGAACTGAACACTTACCAACAGTGGGCAACTGTTTAGGAAGAGGTGGGGGCGGAGTCCCTCACCACACAGTGCTGCCCCCTTGAGAACAAGGATCTCTTTACTGTCCTGGACATCAGAACAGATAGAGCTTAGGAAGGGCCCCGTCAGGAGAGCTCTGGTTCCTGGCCTGACGACATGGCCAACCAGAAGCTGCTTCAGTGACAGGCTGAGGGTAAGGCACAGGTGTGGGCAGGCGACCGTCATCCTAGGAATGGAGTAGACAGAAGCCAGTGAGGGGAGACTCTGGGCTAACTGCCTACAGCTGGAGCTCTGTCCGCCCTGAGTGGTGTGCAGCGTGGCGGGGCCTCTCTTCCTCAGCCATAGAAGCCTTGGGTTCCGTAGACCCCGGCTCCTCCAGCAACACAGTTTCCCTTTCCCAAAGCTGTGTGGCCCAAACCTGCCTGTAGGAAGAAAGTGCTAGAGAGGCCCAGGAGTCTTTCTACAAATACCAAAGGCAGCCTTGTGAGCAGAGACCATTTATTCCCAGCATCCTCAGAGACTAGGCCTTCATCGGGAAGGAGGGCACGGCCTGGATGGACATGGAGAGATTTAAGGGGCACGCTGCTGGCCACAGACCCCTTACCCTCAGCTGTGAGTGCCATATACATGGAGTCTCCCTGCTTGGGGGAAGAGAGACCGCTGCCAGCCTTGGTGCTCAGGGGTTCCTCATCTCTCATATTCTGTGATCAGTCTGCAGCCTCACACTTCCACATTTTAGAGGGTCAAAAATCATGTGAAGGACCACTTTGCAAAGGAATATGTCACTCTGTTGAAGTGTGTGGCAGTCTGGCATGGTGGCTCAAACCTAAAATCACTCAGGAAGCTAATGTAGGCGGGTCAAAGGTTCAGGGTCAGTCTGGGCTACATATTGTGTTTGAGACTAACATAGAATACAAAAAAAGATCCTATCTAAAGAGAGGGGGCGAAGAGAGAGAGTTTGGCAATATCTTCCACTCAGGAGTGTGGTGTCCATATGGTCATCACGACATGGCTTTAGGGTCACTGTGTATGCCCACACACCCACTGTGTCCTTGCACAAGGCAATTGGGCAACTACCCAGCCCCCACACACATCCCTTCTGGCCAGGATCCCAAACCTGGTAGAAGGCCTCTGGTGGTGCCCTGGTGGCACCCAGCCGCTCTGATGTTCCCCCAAAGATCCAGGCAGTTTCAGAAACTCCCCTTGTGATTCCTTACAGGGCCCCAGCTTCCTCCAGAGAGTGAGCAGCTAGTGAGTAAACAGAACTCTCCCTGCCTGGCCCAAGGGTAAGTCCAGAGTCCCCGGGTGGCCACAGACCAGCAGCCCGATGTGTCATCCCATCCAGTCGGCTGCTTGTTTATTGCAGGTCCTGGGAGCGAGCCAGGCTGGCAGTCACAGCAGCTTTAGTACTTAGTGTGAGATGCTGGGGTTGGGGGTGTAAACCGGCCCTGCCGCATTTGCCTGGCACATGCAAGGCCACGGGTTCAATTCTCAGCAGAACTCCAGGTATGTCCGTCCACCAGTATTGCTCCCTCACCACGAGTTCAGAGTATGACAAGCAGAGTGACCGGGCTTCCTGCGACATCCAGGCTCCAACCCGCTAGAGCAGGGGCACTAGGTGCCAGGCCTGATCCTGGTGCTTAGGGGACAATGCTCTTCCATTTCTAAGGTGGAATAGATGGTGCCACAAAGAGCGGAGGACCCCTGGGATGGCGGTACTCCCATCTCCATGTGACAGGAAGTCCCTGGGCAAAGCAGAGCCTCTAGCAGCGCTGGGGGAAGGGAGGTCACTGCAGCCACTTTGGGGGGGATCCAAAGATATCTGGGTTTCCAAAGGCTTCGTGGTAGGGTCATTCAAGGACAATGAGTTATCTCCAGCCCATTTTGTAGGCTTCAGTTCAGGGAGGCTGGGCCAGGAGAGTCTCTTTGCGTGCATTCCCTGTGGAGCAGAGGCCTATGTGATGGTGGGTGCAGGCTGTCACGGTGCCAGTGGTGACGAGCGTTCACCCTTTAACTTCCCTTTGCCTCAGGAGTAGGACCAATTGGTGCCGGTGCTTTGCCCACAGGGTGCCATGTGTACAAGAACCAGAGGCTGGTAGCATGCCAGTATAGCCATCACCTGAGACCCAGGGAGAGACGGCAAGCCACAAGGGTGTTGGCAAGGAGGCTTGGATCCAGCCTGTGGCTTCTCCCTGAGCGGACACTAGCCTGACAGCGAGTGCCCACCATGGGGACACAGAAGTCAGTGCTCTGGGCAGCAGCTGAAGGCTTCACTCTGGGCTACCACTGAATTCTGGGGCTTTAGTTCAAGCCACAATAGCTTTCCAGCTTGGAGCTAACCTGATCTTGAGGGTAGACTCAGCTGCTCTCTAGCCCCAGCTAACACTGGGTGTCACTTCTCAGAGACCATCGTGGGCCCGTGGTCCTCCTTTCCCCCTTCCTCCACTGAGAACATGACCTCAGTGCAGCTGCCCAGAGGTGGTTCTGTCTCCTGCTCCGGGTAGTGAGGGGCATGGTCCACTTCCAATGCCGCTTCAAGCTCAGGCTCCGGAGATCCCGCCAGACCCCGGCCCTCAGGGACTTCGGTCTTTACAGAGCCCACAATCACCGTGTCAGCCTTCATGATGTAGATCTTCTCTGCAAAGCAAGGGGAGGTGTGAGGGCGGGGAGACCATGGCCTCAGCCCGGCGAGACCACGGCCTCAGCCCATTTCCACCTCGCCTGCTGAGAGACTTCAGACAGATAACACCGCCTCTCTGGCATGGAGAAAACTTTGTGGGGCCACCCATGATTTCCCAGGCGTGTCATCAGGTGATCAGAGAAAGATAAAATGCATTCAGTCCAGGAGATAAACCGTAAAAGAGGCCAGGATAGCAGGAGCACTAGGAGACACGACAGAGCCACAGATGTTCCTGGCTCTTCTCAAGAGCCAGCTCTGGGGCCCAGTATTCCCATGAACAGCCCCTCACTATCACCACTGTTAATCTAATCTACTACCTGGCTAAGAACCTGAGGCCTCCCTAAGGTAAGATTCGGGGACACCTCCAGAGAAATGTCCAGCCGCCTGGCTACCCTCATTTTCACCCCGGCTGCCCAACGTGACCTGGTTTGCCTGGGACTGATAGTCCCATGTCCCAGGAAGCCTTGTCAGTCTGGGCAAACTTGGCTGGTTGGTTAGCCATACTCTTCAGAAGCGTGGGTCCTGATACCCAACAGCAGCTGGGGACTCTGTGCTTCGGTCAGCAGCTTCCCGAGTCTCACTGACAGCCAGCAGGGTGGATGATGAGTGTCAAGTGGACGGGTAACCTAGTCCCCAACACTAGGACATGCGACCGTCCTTAGCACAGGCTGATCCAGGAGGGTTGCTGGAATGGCCTTTTGTGGAGGGAGTCGGGGAACCTTGGGGAAACAAAGCCCTTTGCACTGGGAAGCAGAAGCCTGGATTCACAGGGGCAGCTGACTCTACTCATGGGCATGGCACCTATGGCTTCAGCCAGGGGCTGCATCCCCTCCTCCCGCTGTCCCATTCTGCAATGGACTCTGCAGAGAGAATGGGGAAGCTCAAAAAGGAACTTAAGAGTGGGGGTGGGTGGAGGCAGGGGGCACATGGACCCCTGCCTCCGGGTTACACCCTCAGATTCAGGAAGCCCAGAAGCCTCCCAGATGCCCTGACATGCCTGAGAGCATTGCACCAATGCCAGCTCTTCTATTTCGGTTTCCCACACACCCAGGGAGAGAGAAGTATAGGAAATAACAACAAGCAGAGGGAAGGGCAAGAGAAAGAAGCAAACTGTGTGTCCCACGGGTTCCTCAGCCCCCACCCCACATCCTCCATCATCTGAGGGGCTGGCAGAAGATGGGAGCCAGGCAGGGCCTGGCGGCTCAGAACTAAATCTGGAGAAACTGAGGCAGGAAGACAGCAAGTTCAAGGCTAGTTTGGGCTACAAAGTGAGTGGGTTCAAGGCCAGCCTGGACAACTCAGTAAAATTCGGTCCCAAAGAAAAAAGTAAAAAGGATGCTGCGGAGAGGGAAGTATGTGCAGCATTGCAAGTCTGTAACAGCCGCAAGCGGACAAGGAGACCTGAGGATCAGAAGTTCAAGGTTATCCAGAAAGCAGACAAAAGCCAGGGAGGTTGTCTAGCAGGCAAAGTGAGTGCTGGTTCTACAAGGATGAAGACCACAGTTCAGAACCCCAGCAGCCATGTGATGCCTGGGTGGGTGTGGCAACAGCCTGTAATGACATATGGGAGGCAGAGACAGGGGATCCCTAAGCAAGCTGACTAGCTAGGCTAATTGCATCAGTGAGCTCTGGGTTCAAGTGAGAGACTCTGCTGCAAGACATAAGGTGGAGAGCAATCAGGACAACCAATGTCAACCCCTGGCTTCTGCACATACACACACATGAATACTCACACACACATGCACTCATGCACACACACACACATGCACGCACACACGAACGCATGCACATTCAAACACACCACACACACAATTTTCAATTTTAAAAATAAAAGTTTAAAACAAACATGGGTGGTCTGTAGCTCAGTAGTAGGACACTCCCAAGCATGTAGAAGGCACCAGGTTCAATCCCTGGTACTAAAAACGACAGATGGGACCATAGGTCAGGTGCTGGGTTCACCTCAGAACAGGTCAGAGGAGCCGACAAAGGAGAGATGAGGGGCCGGGGAACTGAGAAGCAGAGGATATGGTGCCTGACACCGAGCCAACAACCTGAGCTCAATCCCCAGGATTCACGTGGTTGAAGTAGAGACCTGACTCCCAAAAGCTGTACTCTGACCTCCACACTCATGCATTGGCAAACGAGAGAGAGAGAGAGACAGAGAGAGAAAGAGAGAATAGACAGAGAAAATTATGTAGATGAGAGAGGAAGGTATTTCAAGATGGCTCAACAGATGGAAGTATTTTCTGCCAAACCCAAAGACCTAAGTCCGATCCCTGGGACCCACATGGTAGAAGGAGAAAACTGACACATACAAGTTGTCCTCTGACCTCTACAGGCAGCACAGGCTCCCCACCCCCAGCTGCTTAGGGGAAGTGATGGAAAGGAGAGGCAGAGGGGGCACAGCCAGAGAAGAAGGTTTAGGCCCATTTGTCCTTGTTGGGAACTTAATGGGGAGGCTGCTCTTCTGGTGTGTCACAAAACAGACAAAGGGGTCACTGGAGACCTGGTGTCTCCAATGACCTCTGAGGCCTTCCCTCAGTAGCCCCACCCTCATGCCCAGCCCTTACTACCTCCCTCCCTGCACAAGCTCTGGCCCTGTCTCCAAGTTCCAAGCCCTTTGGTCATCCTGCACTCAAACGCCAGAAGGACTTCTTGGAAAACCAAAGGAGCCTTTGGCAGTGTTTTCCCAAACACATTCTTCGCCAATAGAACTTACCAGAACTTACCAAAAGCTGTGACTGCACACATTTCTCTGAGACAATGACAGCTTTCGAGCGCTTACCTCCACAGACCACCATGGAAATGTGAAGAACCCTCACCCATGGAGGCCCTTCCAGCACCGTGGCAGGGCCAGTGACCCTCCAGAGAGGGAGACAGGGCCCACGGAGCAGCTGCCCTGGAGAGGCTGGGACACTGGGTGGAGGAGCTCAGCAGAGAGCACTGCCCTGCTCAGAGTAGACTGTGAGAAGGTGGTCACTAGGACACCAGGAGGTGACCAGGCTCCGAAGAGGGGAGCTGCCTGCTGGAGGTGAAGCAACAGCCCTGCCGAGCAGCTTAGGGAGAGAGGGAGAGAGGGATGGAGGGAGGGATGGAGGGAGGAGGAGAGAGACAGAGAGCTGAAAGTCAGAAAACCACCCCTAAGAGGGAGAGCAGGTGAGTTGGATGAGATAGAGCGGTTGGCTGAACCAGTCTTGAATGCCAGAGTGAGAACTGAACGCTCCATCTACACTGGTGGGGACAATATATACACATCAGTGGGTCTCGACCTGCTAATGCTGAGACCCTTTAATACAACCTCATGCTATGGTGACTCCAACCATAAAATTATTCTCATTGCTACTTTATAACTGTAATTTTGCTACTGTTAGAAGCCATAATGCAAATATTTTTGGAGACAGAGGTTTGCTGAAGGGGTCAAGACCCACAGGTTGAGAACCTCTGATGTGTTCTGGGGTGGTAGGAAGTGAGGAAGGAGGCAGGGCCCATAGGAGCCACGACGAATGCTTGTCCTGGCTGGAGGGCAGAGAGATGGGAGATGCTGGGGGGTCAGGGCTGGCCTCCAGGTTCCTGCTGCTATCCACGGGTGGTATGGACAACCCAGTGCTTCAAGGCCCATCAAATGTGGGTTTGAGTCCCAGCAGTTCAATAAGAAAACTTGCTCCACATCCCCCTACCCCGAGCCTCAGTTTCCCCAGCCATGAAAGAGGGATAAAGTCCTTCCCAGAAGTATGTGACAGACACAAAGAGATATTGCCAGATAAGTGTCTGACGTCACCAGCCTGCCTGCCTTCAGGCCAGTAGGGAAGGATTCTCTTTCTCTTTAATAATGACCATCACGGACAATTCTGTACTCTGTCAATTATGTCTTAAATAAACGCTGATTGGCCAGTACCCAGGCAGGAAGTATAGGTGGGACAACCAGACAGGAAGTAGAGGTGGGGCAATGAGAACAGGAGTATTCTGGGAAGAAGGAAGCTCTTTCTGCAGTCCTGCCCAGATACCAAAGAAGCAGGATGTGACCTGCCTCACTGAAAAAGGTACTGAGCCATGTGGCTAACATAGATAAGAATAATGGGTTAATATAAGTTATAAGAGCTAATAAGAAGCCTGAGCTAATGGGCCAGTCAGTTTATAACTTAAAAAAAAAAATGACCATCACAGCTCTCATCAGCACACGCCCACTTAGTGAATGTCCCCAGCAGTCCCCATGAAGTGACACTTGTGCCATTCTCCCTGGACAGAAGCTTGACCTGGGGCAGAATGAGTGGTGGTAAGGGATGCACCCCTCCCCTAGCCCCATCCAGAGCTCAGCATCCGTCTCTTTTTGCCCACTGATTTCAACCAGGACCTTCTAATAGGCGGACTCACCAATCCTATTGTTCGTGTGTTCCGTGGATACCCGGGTCTCTGGAGGTTCCCTGGGGGTCAAAGGATTCCCAGCTGTGCTGTCATCCAACAGTGGCAGGCTCTCCAGGAAGGCTGCCCCAACATTGGTACACATCTGCATGGTTGGAGGGTTCACGGGGCTCAACTTGTGTCCTGTGCTGGCATCTGTCACTGACCCGCTTCTCTTTGGCTGCTGTGAACAGGAGTAAGAGCTGAGGCAGGGCTGCCCCCACTCCACTAAACTGCCAGGGAGCTTTAAAGATGCCACAAGTCACGTGACAGCATGAGGTACCTGTGTGGGGCCTTCCCAAGAATGTCCACGTTTTTCTCAAGGTTTTGTTTTTTAATCAAGATAGTGTCTCACCAAATAGCCGTGGCTGACCTATAACTTTATTTTAATACATAAACCAGGCTGGCCTATGAACTCACAGCGATCCATCTGCCTCCGAGGCTTCTCAAGCGCTGGGATTAAAGGTGTGCACCCAGCTACTGTTTGGTCTTTCATTGTGACAGTCTTCTCTAGTCCAGGCTGGCCTCAAACTTGATAAGCTGCTAAGGATGACCTTGAACTTTTGATCCTCCAGCATTCACCTCCCTAACACTGATATTGGGGGGGAGGGGCGGGATAGGGTGCTACCACGCCCAGTTTATGATGGGCTAGGGCTCCAGCTCAAGGTTTTATGCTTCACAGGCAAGCACTCCACCTACCAGGCCGCATCCTCCACTCACTAGATGGAGCGGCGGTCAGTGACTCACACACGCTCCGCTTACTACGAGTGCCGTTCTAAGAACAACGTGTCACCCTGCATGGTTGTCATATGAGCACCTGCCTCTCTTACGGATGGAGAAACTGAGGCTTGGAGGAGTGCAGGAACTCACCCGGGGTCATCCAGGAAGTCTACTTTAGGCTCACCACCTTCTGGGGCCTCTTCACTCCCAACCTCTTGGGAAAGAAGTCTTTAACTGTATCCTAATACAGTTCTTTTTTTTTTTTTTTTTTTTTTAAAAAAAAGCCACATCCTCACTCAGAACTGTGTTGGTTTGGTTTCTCAAGTTCATGAGTTTAGTGCAAAGGGAAATGAGATACCTGCTCTGCGACCTTCACCTTCAGACTTCAAAGGAACCCAGGTTGAGGGGTTCAGAGGACAGATCTATGTCATCTTGGTTCTCTTACGATGACTTGAAGGCCAGGGCTGGTGATAAAGCTCAAAACTGTAGCGCTTTGCCTAGCACTCGGATTTGATTCCCAGAAGAGGAAAACCAAAACCAAAATGAACAAACAAATAAAAAAACCCACTCATTTTAGCCAGGCATGGCACATGCCTGTAATCCTCACACTTGGGTGGTGGAAGCAGGAGGATCAGAAGTTCAAGACCAGCCTCGGCTACATAAGACCTTGTCTAAAAAAATATAAATAAATAGGAACTGTGGGGGGGGGGGTGAGCTCGGTGGTTAACAGCGCTGCTGCTCTTACAGAGGACCATGGTTCGGTTCTCAGCACCCACACAGTGAATCACAACCATCTGTAACTCCAGTTTCAGGAGAGCCGATGCCCCTTTCTGACTTCCGCAGGTACCAGGAATGTACGTGGTCCGCATACATACGTGCAGGCAAAAATCCATACACATAAAACAAAATTTACAAATAAAAAGCGTAAACTGTGTGTGTGGGGGGGGTAGCTGTTATGAGAGAGAGAGAGAGAGAGAGAGAGAGAAGCAACTTGCTCAATGGGAAAAAAGTGAAAACTGTCTGCAGCATAAGCACCTAACACATAGCCACAGGAAGTTCTCATCAACCCTGCCCCCACCCACCTCCAATCCCACCATCACATGTCCCCTGGGAAGCCCGACAAAGGACAGGTCTCCAGAACAACCTTAACGGGGTCTCCGCAAAGCCCTGCACCTGGCCCACGTGGAGCACCCTGTAAGAGGTGATGCAGGTGCCCCCAAAGGATGCAGTCGGGGACCAGGACCCAGCACCTGCTCTGAAGTCCCATAGTACAAGCTGGGGTTCTAAGGCAGCCACCAGCTGGGTCACCCCTAACTTGTCTGACTGCCATTTCCTCTTTTACTAAATGTGACAAGTGTACCAGCGCCTGAGAGTCAGGACTCTCTGAGGTAACTTCTAGAAAGCACAAAGGAAGGTGCCTAGCAAGCCAGATGTGGTGGTGCACACCTGGATTTTGAGGTCATTGTGGGCTACTCAGCCAAAGCCTGGAGAGAGGGCAGGGGAGGAGTGTGAGTGCCTAGCAGATAGTAACCGGTCAATACAGCTAACTTTGCAAGTGTCTGTGGCTGGTGTCTGTCAGCCAGCTGGGAGGGCAAGCCTTCCAGAGTAAAGAGATAAATAATCACAGCCTCCCTCCAACCCAGACTTAGGACCTCAAAGTGGCCCAAACCAAACTGCTGTTTGCAGTCCTGGTGGAAATTCCCTGGGGCCGAGCCAGGTGCTAGAGGTTGCTGTGGGGTGGGGCTCTCTGTCCTGGGCCAAGTCCTACCATGGGGCCCCAGGCTAAGCCCCTGGGCTCCTAGTTCCCACAATCTGGAACCCTGGGTGTCAAGGAAGGAGAAAGGTCTCCTGTCTTCCTAAGGCCCAGCAGCCCTGAAACCACAGATCTGTGAAGTCAAACAAAAAGACAGTAGCCGGGGGTGGGGGGAGTGGGGGTGATGGGGGTGGAGGAATGGGGGGGGTATTGGAATGGCACTTACAGTTGGGTTTTCAATAGGTTTGGAATCTGAAAGAAAAAAAGAAGTAGTGATGTCACCAAAAAGAGTTTGACACCCCGCAGCACTCCCCATCTGTTGCCAGACAGTACCCTAGGATCTCAGTGAGGCTGAGCATTGCCCACCCCAGGGCTCATGCCCCCAGGATGGCAGTAGAAATTTTCAGGATGAACCCCTGGCATGCCTGAAGCCAGTCTCTGAAGAGGGAATGAGCTGGGGCTTCCCTTCCACAAGCCAAAAGAGGCCAGGCTGGGCCCTGCTCTGTCTGCCTCTCTTCTCTGTACCACCCTGAGGCGGCTTCTGAGGACTCTGGAGATGCCTGAGCCACAGTTCTCAGGGCCCAACCTTTCTCTGATCATCTCAGCCCCTGCCATTCACCCCAGTATCCTTTTGTCTTAAATAAGGACCAACTACCCAAGAGCATGGTGACATTTAACCATAGCTCGCCAGCCGCCTGAGAAAGAAGGAAGTGGCCCCATTACCAAGCCCAACCTAACACAAGCTACCCCAGGTCCACCAGGACCATACCACAGGAGGACAGAGCCTTTCCTGATTCCCAGGAGGCCACCTAGAGACCCTGTGATGCCAACCGGATTCACACTGACAAACCAACCAGGGCAGGAAAGCCATCATGCCAGAGGAGCTGCTTCTAGAACATGCTTTCTGGCTTAGCAGCTTGACCCTGAATTCCAGTTGACCTGTGCACAGCAGATTAACCGATAACAGAAATGTCACGCGGCCGCTGAAGCTTGGGATGAGCTCTTAGCGGTCTGGCAGGGAAATGGGCTAGAGAGATGCTCAGAACAACCACCTCATGAAGTGACATGACCAAGTCTCAGGTTAGCAAAGGTGCTTGCTTATGTAATCTGGTAACCACTGTCCCTGGTAGAGTGGTCACTTCAGGAAGTTGTGGCTTGTTCTCTTTAGGTGACCACTAACCACCAAGTCCAAGCCACTGATAATGCTTCAGGTACTCTCTGGCTTGAGACACAAGTTCTGTTTGAATGGGCTTGGTTTTTCTAAGATTTTGTTATTATTCTGTGAGTGTTTTGCCTGCATGTGTGTTTGTGGACAACACGCATGCCTGGTACCCAGGGAGACCAGGAGAGGGTGTTAGATACCCTGGACCTAGAATTACAGACAGTTGCGAGTCCCCCTGTGGGTGCGAGGAATTGAATCCCAGTCCTCTGGAAGAGTAGCCAGCTCTGATCCATTGAGCCGTCTCTCCAGCCCATGGTGTGTTCATTTTGTCTGATTCTCATTTTATGGGACAGGATTTAACTGGCTATTTTAAACGTGACATCAGCGAAACTAAATCTTTGTCCTCTGGAAGCAATCCTGAGTTTTGCAATCAGCCAGCTGGTATATGGTGTCAAGTCATTGTGGGAACCTGGAGAAGAAAAAAGCTTCTGCCAAAGAATCAAGAAGATAAACAAAGGATGCTGAGCCCTGTCTTGAGGAAGAAGCAGTGAGATAAGGGCTGAGAGCTGTAAGTAGGCTCCCTCTCTTTACAGGGCCTCCTGGCTAGCACCCTTGGTGCCTTTGAACCAGGCTCCCCCCCCCCCCCCCCCCCCCCCCCCCCCCCCCGTAGGGACCACACCTTCAGGAAGTCACACTAGTGGAGATAAAAGCAGGAGTGTTTATAATTACTTCAAAGCTGAAAAGATACCAAGTGTCAAACACCAGTGTGACTGGGCCTGCTAACCCAACACCACCTTCGTGGAGGGCATCCGGCTCTACTTCACAGCTCTAAGACTCAGCCTTTTTATCTGGGAAATGGGACAGCCCTGGCCAACTTCAGAGGGGTTTAGGAAGATAGGATAGAGAGCTCAGAACAGCAGGTAGGGCTGGGGTGGTGTGGGGGAGGGGGATTAGTGGTAGAACCTTTGTCAAGTGTGAAGGCAGAACTCTTCCAGGAGCAAGCATGTGCGCACACACACACACACACACCACACACACCACATACACACCATACACCATACACACATCACACACACACGCCACACACACCATACATACACACCACATACACACACCACACACACCACATACACACCATACACACATCACACACACACGTCACACACACACCATACATATACAACACACACACTACACATACCACACACACACAGAGTAGAATTTCTGTGATAAGTCATCTGGAGACTGGGGTGTGTGCAATGAGCATGGCTCTGAGCTCTGAGGTTTTCCCCCTCCAAATCCAGAACCCCGGTCTCACTGTACAAAATAAATTTTAGACAAGTCCCAGCAGGGGGAATCTTGCAAACGTCTGACCAGTGTTGTCAAAGGCCACTTAGGTCAAAAGGAAGTCTGAGAAGCTGCTACAGGCCAGGCAGCGGGGGTGGGGAGTGGGAGAGAGTGGGGGGCTAAGGAGATGTCTGACTGAGTGTAAGAAGGGTCCCTGGCACCTTAAAGTAAAACAAGTAAAGACAGAATAAAGGGTGTCTTTTGTTATTTAATCACAATAGTTGGGGCTGGGGATGTGGCTAGCAGGTTAAGAGCACTGGCTGCTTTTCCGGAGGATTGGGATTTGGTTCTCAGCACCCACATGACGCTCACAACCTTTTTAACTCTGATTTCAAGGGATCCAGGGCCCCCTTCTGACCTTACTGGGCACCCTGTAGTTATATACGTGCAAGCAATTGCTCATATGCATTTTAAAAAATTAAACTTATTTAACTATGGTAAATGTACCACCCCGATATAAGAGGTCAATAATGAAATCAGCTGGGCACGGGCACACTGGAACTCCGTTATTTTCTGTTTGGACGGGGTGGAGTAAGACAAGGTAGTCTCCAGCTGGAAACTAACTTGAGGATGACTTTGAACTTCTGGCCCTGCTGTCTCACCTTGCAAGTGCTGATACTGCAAGTATGTACCAATACATCTATGGCTTTGAAACAGGGTCTCACTATGTAGCCCCTGGCTGGAATGAACACACAGAGATCCACCTGGCTCTGTGGGGATTAAAGGCGTATACCACCTGCCTCTGTCTCCCAAGTGATGAGGCTCCAAGTGTCTATCACCGTGATATTTTTGAGTTGCTCTCCTCTTTTCTGGAGCCTTCCAGGCCATCTCTTTACCTAACGAACCCACTGACTAAGCCTGCTGGGTTCCCAGTAAATGTCTATCCTGCCTCCCGCAGCTGTGATGGGACTTCAGGGAGAACTCAGGGGCAGAATGAAGAGAGTTCTTTTATCCTAAAACTCTTCTAAAAAGTGAAGTCTTGAGCCGGGCACATGCCTCTAATCCCAGCACTCAGGAGGCATAGGCAGGTGGATCTCTGTGAGTTCGGGATCAGCCTGGTCTACAGAGTGAGTGCCAGCTGAGGCTACACAGAGAAACCCTATGTCGAGGAAGGGTGCTGAGGACACCTGTGAAGCCCTGGAGGCTAACACAGCTTAGACACTCTATAACAGGGGAAAGAAAAATATAGATTCTAACTCTCAGCAACAAGCATGCACTAACATCAAGGTTAAAAAAAAAAAAAAAGACAGAATCTAAGGCAGGAGAATCCACGCCTTTGATCCTAGCACTCAGAAGGCACAGGCAGCCGATTTTTGAGTTCAAGGCCAGTCTGGTCTAAAGAGCAGTTCCAGGACAGTCAGGGCTATACAGAACAAATCCTGTCTCGAAAAGCCAAAAAGTAAATAAATAAATAAAATTAAAAAAAAAAAAAGCTTAAGAGGCAGAATCTAGGAGGCCCCAGCATCTGTCAACAGTCCTTTTCAACCCATGAGTACTCTGAGAAAGATCCAAAGCGGATCCTGCCAAGGGCAGAGTTCAGATTGCCCAAGCACTCTTCCCCTCAAGCCCTTGCTTTAGCCTGCTTGTCCTCATTTGTTGGTTTCCTGGTTTTTTGGAACAATCACAATATTCTCGTAAATCCATCCGGCGCCCTAGGATGCGAGTCCAGGACATTATGTACAGCGGTGGCCTGGGCAATGGTATCTCCTGAGCTGCTCCGAAGGCTAGAGTCGTGAGTGCTGAGTGCAGAAGCAGGATTCAAAGCTCTGTCCCGCCCTTCCCTGAGCTCTCCTTGCCAGTCCTGACCTGACACAGCTGTGGGAGGCAGGGCAGTCCCAAGGTAGAAGTTAGCTACTGGGAACCCAAGGTAGAAGTTAGCTACTGGGAACCCAGCAGGCCTAGGAGGAGAGGTCACCTGAAAGGCCTTCAGAGAAGAGGACAATCCCCTGCAACTCAAAATAGCGAGGTGGTACACACCTGGAGCCCCAGCAACCTGGGAGGCAGAACCAGGTAGATCCCTGTCTGTATTCATACCAGCCATGGCTACGTAGTGAGAACTGGTCTCAAATATAAATAATATAAATATAAACATAAAAAAAAGATAAATTCAAAGCTAGTCTCAATTACATACCATGACTGAGGACAGCTGGGCCATGTGAGACCCTATCTCAAAAAGTCAAAAACACAAAAAAGGTAATGCCAACTCAAGAGGACAGGACATGTCCTGAGGGATTCCTGCTTCCCAGCTCTGGGATAGTGATCAAGAATCTGCTACAATGATGGCAACATTAAAATAATGAAAGAAACCCATGAGTCCACACAGATACAAATACACTAACAAGAAACAAAAGCATGATAAAAAGCAGAAGGGGTCATTGGCACAGTCTCAAAACCCTCCTTTAACAGTCATTACCAAGTCATTATCAAAGTGTGGTCTGGCTGGCTGACGGGCTTGCAAGAGAGCTCCAAGCACCATGAAGGCAACAGATGGATGCCTGGCAGGAAGCTCCCCAGAGAGCCCTTGCAGAAGACTGATGCCCAAGTCCATTTTCAGAGAAATATTAGACTGAACCTAGGTCAGGACTACAGGCCAGATCAGCTCACGACTCTACCTGGTGTCAAGGCCATGATACCAAAGAAAGAGCCTGGGAACTGACCCAGATGAGAGGGGACCCCATAGACCTGCTTACCAATGGCAGCATGGGATCCAAGCCACAGACATTAGGACACATCGAGAAACCCAGTCTGGTAACGTGTAATGGCACACACCTTTAATCCCAGCACTGGAGAGGCAGACGCAGGCAGGGCTCTGCTGTGGGATAATGCTTTTGTATACTGTAAAGATTTATCACGCGTATTAATTTAATAAAACACTGATGGCCAGTAGCCAGGCAGGAAGTATAGGCAGGACAACCAGACTAAGAGAATTCTGGGAAAAGGACAGGCAGAGATGCAGATGCAGAGGAAGCAAGATGAGAAAAGGTACCAAGCCACATGGCTAAACATAGACAAGAATTATGGGTTAATTTAAGTTGTAAGAGCTAGTTAATAATAAGCCTGAACTAATGGGCCAAACAGTTTATAATCAATATAAGCCTCTGTGTATTTCTTTGGGACTGAAGAGCTGCAGGACCAGCTGCCGGTGGGACAGAAACTTCTGTTAACAGATCTCTGTGAGTTCGAGGTCAGCCTGGTCTATAGAACAAGTTCCAGAACTACACAGAGAGACACTATCTCAAAAACCAGAAAAGAAGAAGGAAGAGGAGGTAGAGGAGGAAGAGAAAGAGGAGAAAGAGGAAGGGGAAGAAGAAGAAACAAGCAAACAGAGTCTGGCCTGAGTACTGATTGGTGTTGACTGAACAGGCTGAATTCTGATTCTGATGGTACTGCAGCACCCTGGTTATTAGGAAATACACAGGGAGGTATTCAAGAGTGATAAGAAATCAAGCCTGATAAGAAACTCTCAAAACTGTTTTGGAAAAGGTAAGTTTCCCATACTGTGTTTACAACTTCTGGAAATCTGAAATTCTATCAGAGCAAAAGAATTTTTTTCTGCTTCTATCTTTCCATGAAAACAGCAAGGTAGGGGCTGGAGAGATGGCTCCATGGTTAAGAGCACTACTGCTTAGCCAGGCATGCCTTTAGTCCCAGCTCAGAAGTCAGAGGCAGGTGAATTTCTGTGAGTTCAAGACCAACCTGGTCTATAAGGTGCAATTCCAGCATAGCCAGGGCTACAAAGAGAAATCTTGCCTCAGAAAAAAAGACAACAAAAAAGAGCACATAACATATTGTTCTTCCAGAAGACTCTAGCTCAATTCCTAGCACCCATGTCAAGTGGCTCACAACCACCTGTAAACCCCTGCAGTAAACTGCACTCAAACTCACACACACACACACACACACACACACACACACACACACACACATATACACATCAAAAACAGTCAAGGCATTCAGGTATTCAGGTGCATATTAAAATGAGGACTGAGGGGAAGGACCGAAGGGTGGGGATGTAGCTCCATTGAAGAGTTCATGCTTAGCATGTATGAGACCATAGGTTCTATCTCCAGCTATGCATAAACTGGGCATGCCAGCACAATTCATGTAATCTCAGCACTTCAAAGGCAAGAAGGTTAGAACTTCAAGGTCATCCTCAGCAGCATAGCAAGTTTGAGGTTAGCCTGAGCTACAAGAAACCCTGTCTCAAGATTAATTGATAAAAATAGGAAAAAATGGTAACCTGACTGCCTGTTCTGGGCTGTCACAGCCCCTCCTCAGCTGTGATATGGAGACCCCAGTGAGAGACACCCTGCTCATGGAGACCCCAGAGAGACACCCTGCTCATGGAGAACCCAGAGAGAGACACCCTGCTCATGGAGAACCCACAGAGAGACATCCTACTCATGGAGAACCCAGCGAGAGACACCCTGCTCATGGAGACCCCAGCGAGAGACACCCTGCTCATGGAGACCCCAGCGAGAGACACCCTGCTCATGGAGACCCCAGCGAGAGACACCCTGCTCATGGAGACCCCAGCGAGAGACACCCTGCTCATGGAGACCCCAGCGAGAGACACCCTGCTCATGGAGACCCCAGCGAGAGACACCCTGCTCATGGAGACCCCAGCGAGAGACACCCTGCTCATGGAGACCCCAGCGAGAGACACCCTGCTCATGGAGACCCCAGAGAGAGACACCCTGCTCATGGAGAACCCACAGAGAGACATCCTACTCATGGAGACCCCAGTGAGAGACACCCTGCTCATGGAGACCCCAGAGAGACACCCTGCTCATGGAGACCCCAGAGAGAGACACCCTGCTCATGGAGAACCCACAGAGAGACACCCTGCTCATGGAGACCCCAGCGAGAGACACCCTGCTCATGCAGACCCCAGCGAGAGACACCCTGCTCATGCAGACCCCAGCAACAACAACAACAAATCTCCACCCTGCTGTCCGCTCCCATGTGGCCTTTGCCAGCTGACCTGGGCTTCACGCAGCTCATCTGAGAAATGAAGGCAGTGGTGGTGGGTGCTGAAAAGGCCACCCCAGGAGTAAAATGAGATGATGTCTGTCCTTTGCGAAGGTACCAAGGACACTTTGCCATAATGTCGGACCAATTCAGGTGATGGGTGACGGGCACCTGATTGCGCCTGTATTGACCTTAGGTTCCTGCTCTTATTCCTCCACCAGGGGAACAATAGTCTCCCTGCAGAGGAGGAGTGAGGACACTGGAACACATATGCCTGTCCCTCCAGCTGTCCACTCTTACCAGCTGTCACACTTGATGGAAGGTTGGAAAATCTAGGAGAGCCTATCACCAGACAAAGCCTACGCTGAAGATAAGATCATGACAACAAATGAATAAATGTTCCTTCTCAACCCACTGCTCCAGGACAGATCCGTGCTGCTCAGGGTATGCCCACCCTACCCTGGCCATGCCCACCCTACCCAGGCCATGCCCACCCTACCCTGGCCATGCCCACCCTACCCAGGCCATGCCCACCCTACCCTGGCCATGCCCACCCTACCCTGGCCATGCCCACCCTACCCTGGCCATGCCCATCCCTGCCTAGGTTATCGTCATCTGTACCATGTGTGCTCACCCTGATTTAAACTCCCTCTCATTTCAGCCCTGGAAACCCAGACATCAAGGGACCCAGTGGAACCAGGCTCAAAACCAGGCTCAGACACAATATTGACCCTAGGCTCATTCGGCTCTCTGTAAGCCCAGCTTCTTTGGGTATTTTGTTTGCCTTTTTTTTTTCATCCTTTCTTTTCTTTTTTTTCTGTCTTTCTTGTTATAACAAAACTGTTCTCACGAATGTTTGGAGAGAAAAAAATTAACTGACGGCAATGGAAACTCTAATACTAGAAAAATGTCAAGAAAGCAAACATTGGTTTCAATAAGCCGTGCCTGGCAGCTCATGGAAACAAGCTTGAAACCATCAAAATACAAAAACCCCCTTGACTGGGGCGTGCTTAGGAGGTACACGCATGTACTTATGAAACTTCTCTATCTCAAAACCCCTTGGTGGACAGTGTCTTGGTGTGAGTCGGCCCAGCCCCGGAGCCCACGACAGCCTCGCACCTGTCCATCTGGCCCAGGCAGTCTTTGCATGACCAGATACTCACCCCCCTGCTCCATCTTTGGCTGGAAGGTCTGGGTTAGGTAGTCCAGGCGAAACTCTGCAAAGATATCAAGAGTGGGGCTTAGGGGGTGAGCAGCAGGGTAGGGACAGGCAGGGCAGGCACCCACGGCAGGCCCGCATAAAGCAGCCACCCTCTCCAGGACCCCAGAACACAAGCACCTACTCTGTTGGATCCTCCTCCTGCAGGCCTTCCAGTGACATAGGAAGAAGGAGCTAAAGCCAAGGAGCAGCATCACCATGGCCAGCCAGAGGAACATGGGCCCTGAAACACAGTGCCACCCTGTACTCTGTGCACAGCTGGGAGCCAGGGCCCTTTCCTACAGCCACAGAGGACAGCCCCAGGCATAGCCCATTTCCTCCTTCTCCAGGGTCATGGGTCCCACCAAGGTGAGCAGTTCTGGTCCCAAGATGGACCATCTGATTCAGCCTTTCTCTGCTTGCCCTCCCTCACCTGGTTCCAGGAAGCTGACCAGCTAACTCAGAAAGTAAGAAAAACAAACCATTTCGAGGGTGAGAAACTAAGGCCTCAAGGAATCAGAATGAGTCAGGTACGGTGGCGCACGCCTGTAACCCCAGCACTAGGGAGGCAGAGGGATGTGGATCTCTGAGTTTGAGGTTAGCCTGCTCTACATAACTAGTTCCAGGCCAGCCAAGGCTACATAGGGAGACCCCATATTAAATAATAAAATAAATAATAAACAAAAAAAAGAGTGAGAAAAAGAAGGAATTGAACTCCAGGAGGCCGAGAGCTATGGCTAGTTGGGATAGGGAGGGCAGAAGCTGGTTAGGCAAACTCTCTGAGACCGTCAGCTCCTGAGGGCAGGCTCAGGGTCAGAGCTGCACAGAGCGGCCTCAGCATGTGGTCTCTCCATTCAAACAAATGAGAGGTTGGTGGGATGGCTCAGAGGGCAAAGCCCTTGCAAGCCTGACCTGAGCTCAACATCCAGAACCTTCCGTGGAAAGGTGAGACAGGGGTGGAGGGGGGAGACACGGGACTCCACAGAAGTTGCCCTCTGGCTTCCACACATCACCATGGCATGGGTATGCACACACACACACACACACACACACAACCATGGCATGGGTATGCACACACACACACACACATCACCATGGCATGGGCATGCACACACACACACACATCACCATGGCATGGGCATGCGCACACACACACACACATCACCATGGCATGGGCATGCACACACACACACACACACACATCACCATGGCATGGGCATGCACACACACACACACACACATATCACCATGGCATGGGTATGCACACACACACACACCACCATGGCATGGGTATGCACACACACACATACACACACATCACCATGGCATCGGCATGCGCGCACGCACGCGCACACACACACACACATCACCATGGCATGGGCATGCGCACACACACACATCACCATGGCATGGGTATGCACACACACACATCACCATGGCATCGGCATGCACACACACACACACACACACACATCTCCATGGCATGGGCATGCACACACACACACATGCACCATGGCATGGGCATGCACACACACACACACACACACACACACACACATCACCATGGTATGGGCATGCACACACACACACACACACATCACCATGGCATGGGTATGCACACACACACACACACACACATCACCATGGCATGGGTATGCACACACACACACACACACACACATCACCATGGCATGGGTATGCACACACACACACACACATCACCATGGCATCGGCATGCGCGCACGCACACACACACACACACATGCACCATGGCATGGGCATGCGCACACACACACATCACCATGGCACGGGCATGCACACACACACACACACACATCACCATGGCATGGGCATGCGCGCACACACACACATGCATCATGGCATGGGCATGCGCACACACACACACACACACATCACCATGGCATGGGCATGTGCACACACACACACATCACCATGGCATGGGCATGCGCGTACACACACACATGCATCATGGCATGGGCATGCGCACACACACACACACACATCACCATGGCATGGGTATACACACACACACACACATCACCATGGCATGGGCATGCCACACACACACATCACCATGGCATGGGTATGCACACACACATCACCATGGCATGGGCATGTGCACACACACACACACATCACCATGGCATGGGCATGCGCACACACACACACATCACCATGGCATGGGCATGCGCGCACACACACACATGCATCATGGCATGGGCATGCGCACACACACACACACACATCACCATGGCATGGGTATACACACACACACACATCACCATGGCATGGGCATGCCACACACACATCACCATGGCATGGGCATGTACACACACACACACACACATCACCATGGCATGGGCATGCCACACACACACACATGCATCATGGCATGGGTATGCACACACACACATCACCATGGCATGGGCATGCACACACACACACATGCATCATGGCATGGGCATGCGCACACACACACACATCACCATGGCATGGGCATGTGCACACACACACACATCACACATAAATGAGTCATGTTTTCTCAAAGCCAAAGGGCTCAGAGGGCTTTGAGAAACTGGGAAACTGAAGCTTGTCCAAAGCCACCTTGAGAGTCACCAGCCCGGTCATGCCAGGCCAGGCGACTTCAGTATCCCACATCCTTCTCACACACACACACACACACACACACACACACACACACACACACACACACAGTTAAGGATCAAACACAGTACATAATGCGTCTGTGGCAAGTGCTCTACCACTAACCCAGCCTAGCCCACGCCTGAGCCCTTACACAGCCTACTCTGGTGATCTTAATTATTCCATTGCTAGTTGGGTACAGGTCTCAGGTGTGACTGCTCAAGTAGCCTTTGTTTGGTATTGGGCCAAGACCCAGGGTAGCCTCAAACTTGCTATGTAGCCAAGGACGATCGAGATCTCAGGATTACCTACCTCCACCTCCTCAGAGCTGGGATTACATGTGTGTCCTACCACATCCGGTTTACGTGACTCTGGGAATGGTGCCCGGGGCCCTCTGTCATGCTAGGCAAGCACTTTGCCAGCTGAGACACAAAGTACGCTGAGAACTGTTAACTTGAGAACTACTGCCATCTTGTGTCCATAACTGGTACTGCTAGTCCTAAAACTGTCGATTGCAAACATAACTGGTACTGCTGCTAGTCCTAAAACTGTCGATTGCACAAACAGCAACCGCCTAGGGCTATTTGCAGACCACACCTGTGCTACGTGCTGGAAACCCCGGGTCCCTACTCGCTTTCCATTTTACAGCTGAGGAAACTGACGGCGAAAGAAATTAAGCTCCTGGTCATTCAGATAACTTCTTTTTTAAAAGATGGTCTCCTGTGGCCAGGATGGCCTTGAACAGGCTACCTAGCAGAAGTAACCTTTAACAACGATTTTTTTTTTCTTGAGACAGGGCCTCACTAGGTAGCCCTGTCTGACCTGGAACTCATTATGTAGACCAGGCTGGCTCTGAACTTACGAGATCTCCTGCCTCTGCTACCTGAGTGCTAGGATTAAAAGCAATGTGCCTCCACACCTAGAGTTTTTTGTTTGGTTTTAAAGAATTTTTCTTATTTGTGTATGTGTGTGCGTGTGTGTGCGCACGTGCACATGTGTGTTAGGTGTGTGGAGTCACTCTCCTTCCACCTCTACATAATTTCTGGGGATCAAACTCAGGTCCTTGAACTTGCATCCTTGGGCAGGGCAGATGGCAAGGGAGCCATCTCACTGGTTCAACCTTGAACTTCTTCTACCTCCACCTCTCAACACCAGGATTAGAGACACACACCGCCATGCTCAGCACCGGGATTAGAGACACACAGTGCCATGCTGATACAGACACACACCGCCATGCTCAGCACTGAGATCACAGACACTGCCATGCTCAGCACTGATACAGACACACACCGCCATGCTCAGCACTGATAGAGACACACACTGCCATGCTCAGCACTGATAGAGACACACACTGCCATGCTCAGCACTGATACAGACACACACTGCCATGCTCAGCACTGATACAGACACACACTGCCATGCTCAGCACTGATACAGACACACACTGCCATGCTCAGCACTGATACAGACACACCACCATGCTCAGCACTGATACAGACACACACCGCCATGCTCAGCACTGATACAGACACACACCACCATGCTCAGCACTGATACAGACACACACCACCATGCTCAGCACTGATACAGACACACACCGCCATGCTCAGCACTGAGGTTATAGACACACACCGCCATGCTCAGCACTGATACAGACACACACCGCCATGCTCAGCACTGAGGTTATAGACACACACCGCCATGCTCAGCACTGATACAGACACACACCGCCATGCTCAGCACTGAGGTTATAGACACACACCGCCATGCTCAGCACTGATACAGACACACACCGCCATGCTCAGCACTGATACAGACACACACCGCCATGCTCAGCACTGAGGTTATAGACACACACCGCCATGCTCAGCACTGATAGAGACACACACCGCCATGCTCAGCACTGATACAGACACACACCGCCATGCTCAGCACTGAGGTTATAGACACACACCGCCATGCTCAGCACTGATACAGACACACACTGCCATGCTCAGCACCGGGATTATAGATATACGGTACTAATTACCCTGTATACCCTAGTAGGGATGAAACCCAGAGTCTGAGAGCATTCTAGATAAATACTCAAGCAACTAAGCCATAGCCTAGCAACTCTATTTTGAGTATCAATTATAGGTCATCAGGATGAAGTCAAGAAAAAAAGTCCTGTCCCAAGAATGAAACTGTATTAGGAAGGGACAGAGCCTCGCTGCAGCCCTAGAAGGCAGAAAGCTGAGATCAGTCTCAGTCTCTTTCCACCTCCACCTGAGGCCACAGTCCTGGAAGGAAACCCCTCCCCCCCCCCCCCGGATTTGGACAATGAGCAATCAATACCTGGATCCAGAAAAGGTGTTCCTGTGGACAAGGGAGAAGTGGGCTGCAGCCTGCTGCTGGTCTGGGCGTCCACCAGGAGGCTCAGGGTAGAGGCGGTACTGTGCCAAAGGAAACCCAGGACAGGGGTAACAATCACAATTGCCATGTGAGGCAGAGAGGGCCTGGGAACCCATAGCATCTGCACAGTCTTGTCAGGCATTGTGGGGGCAGGGACTGAGTTTCTAGACCTGGCTTTACAATCCTGTCATCATAGAGACAGACACACAGTTGTGTCCCCCCAATCCCACCAAAGACCTACAGACCTGATGACAGCCCAGACCATCCTGAGGAATACCTGAGCATACAGGGGCCATTCCATCCTGCCTACAGGAGGGGTTAGGAATCACCTGGCAGGCTCCTCGCTGTTTTCTGAGGTGCTGAAGTCAGGAAGGGTCCCTGAAGGTAGCACCTCCAAGGTCATATTCATCTCTGCATTATCTGTAGGGATGATGATATATTAGAACCAGTAACAGAGACTCTGAATCTCTAGGAAAGACTTGACCAACATGCAGTGGGAGGCGGTGGGAGGCTATGGGCAGCAGTGGGAGGCATTAGGAGGCAGTGGGAGGCAGTAGGAGGCGGTGGGGGCAGTGGGAAACATTTGGAGGCAGTGGGTCGTAGTCCTCTGTAACACACAATTCTTGGCTACAGCTGGCAAAGACCATTGGGATTGTGCTCTGAAAGATCAAATTGGAGAGGTTGTGGTTGCATAGAAATGATACCCGGCAGCTTCTGCTCTTATTTAAAAGAAGTCTAAGGCCAGGTAAAGAAAATTCCTGCCAAGTGGAATCCTAAGACCCAATAGTAGAAGGACAGAACTGACTCCCGCAGATCATCCTCTGACCTCCAGATGCATATCACACACACACACACACACACACACACACACACACACACACACGAAGGACGAAGGGAGTAGAGTTTCAGAGCCCAGAGGAAGGGAGAGAGGTCCTGAGGGGTACATCCATGAAAGAGAGCCTGCCCCTCCTCTCCCTTTCTCTGTGCTTCCTGGCTGCAGTGAGGTGAGCAGTTTCTGGGGCGATCAGTTGCCTCAGGCCCAAGCAGCTGCAGGCAAAAATCTCCCCAATGAGAGCTAAAAAGAACCCCTTTCTTTTATAAAGATACGTTCTTGCCACAGAGATGGAGCGCACACTGAGTTACTACATAAAAAAAAAAAAAATCAACTGATTTTTGCATTGGCCACATGAAATCACTGGTTGTTTTGCTGGTGTGTGGTGGCGCACACCTTTAATCCCAACACTTGGGAGGCAGAGGCAGACAGAGCTCTGTGAGTTCAAGGACAGCCTGATCTGCAGAGTGAGTTCCAGGACAAAGATACACAGAAAAACCCTGTCTCAAAAAGCCAAAAATTAAAAATAAGAATAAAAGAAATAGAGTTAAAAATCAACCACATGAAGGTGGAAAATACACAAAGAATCTGGACACTGTATGTTATTGTGTTGTCTTTAAATTGTTTGCTGACTGAGGAAGGAGCAAAAGCTGCTAAAAGACATTTGATTATAAATGCTGCTGGATTAATCCAACATATATATTTTGAAAATACTTTGACTTTGACTTTAAAATTTGAGTCAAAAGGTATGTTCCTTTGGAGAAGAGGTTTTGTTTTTGTTTCCACAGGAAATGAGAGGCTGTGGATTCAGCCAAAATTGGTGTGTGATTGGTTGGTTGGTTAGCTCGACAGGTGCGTGAGTGGCTGAGTAGGGGGGTGAAACAGGAACAGGGTCTCACCGTGTAGACCAGACTGGTCTCAAACTCACGGAGATCCACCTGCCTCTACATCCTGAGTGCTGGGGTTAAAGCTGTGCACCATCAGACCTGGTAACGTTACAGGTTTTTTTGTTTTGTTTTGTTTTGTTTGTTGTTAAGATTTTGACCTTAAAAAAAAAATCAGTCAGGCATGGTGGGCAGGGCGCACCTACAATCAAAAAAATGCCCCACAAGCTTACTTGCCCACAGGCCAATCTGGTTGGGGCATTTTCTCAGTTGAAGTTCCCTCTTTTATTAAATGATGACTCTAGTTTGTATCAAGTAGACAAAAAAAAAAACAAACAAACAAACAAAAAAAACCCTAACCAGGACACCTTGGCTACATAATGAATTCTGAGTCAGCTAGTACTACAGAGGAAAACTCTCTCTCTCTCTCTCTCAAAAAAAAAAAAAAAAAGACAAAATAAGAATAAAATCAACAACAAAGGCACCTTAAGAATTAACATTTCTTGGGGGTCGGGGGCTAGAGAGAAGGTTCAGTGGTTAAAAGCACTTCCAGAGGTCCTGAGTTCAATTCCCAGCAACTACATGGCAGCTCACAGCCGGTTCACAACCATCTACAAAGAGATCTGGCGCCCTCTTCTGGCCTGCAGGTATGCATGCAGGCAGAACCCTGTATACATAATAAATCTTTAAAACAAAACAGAGAGGTGAGGAGGACACTTAGGGGCCACAGGCAGAGCCCACCTGCTCTGTCACTAACACCCTGAGTACAGAGCAGGGACACCCAGCCCCTGTTCCAGACCCTGGCCTGTTCCAGACCCTGTCGTGCAGGACACTCAGACATTCTGGGAATGAAATAGGCCTCTCAGGACCTCCGGCCCTTGAGTCTCAGCCTCAGGAGCTGTGTCCTAGCGACATTCTTCTGTCTCCACTGGGCACCTAGGGCCCCTCATCGGACAGCAACACCCTGTGAAACTGCCACAGCTTCACGTAAACAGTACCTGGGTCTGGACTGGGCTCCCTTGCCTGGGAAGATGGAGACTCTGGAACCTTCGACAGCTCAGCAGCATCTTCCTGCATAGGGTGGGTGTTCCCTTCTGGCAGCAAGCTCCTCGGACTGTCGGTGGCTGAGGGCTTTAGAGTAGGTGTGGCCTGAGCAATGGCATGGCTGGAGAAGAAGCCAGACACAGGTCTGATCACTCTACAAGCCATGGAGGTCTGGGCTTGCGGATGGGTGTCTATAGAGAGAGGCTCCTGCCTCAGCACTCATAGGCCCTGCTATGAGCTCCTGAGAGCAAGAGCTGCGTTCCCTAGGCCTTCTGGGACACACACAGCAGAATCTCCAATGACTAGTGAGCTTGGCAGTGGACCACCCTGGAGTCCTGCCAGCCTGAGCTGACCCTACCCTATGTGCCCCAAGACAGAGTGACCCATCCAAAGGTCACCCGGAGGGGCGCAAAGGAGACCAGGAGTCACCTAGTAAATGTCTTGCAGTCATCTGGGTTGGAGCAATCGGGGCCAGGTCCTGGGGAAGGCAGCTCACAGATAGTGTCCTTCTCCGCTGTGCCTGCAACGGGGACAGCAATGGCTTCAGAACAGACACCGAGGAACCCAGAGTCTCCAGGAGCAGAACTGTCACCACAAGCAGTCATAGATGACAGTAGCCACGCAGAGATGGCGGCTTTCCCAGTATCTCCTCACTATCCCTCCACTTGGATTGGTCAGGGTGCAAACCTATAGTTGCTGGTTGCTTACCAGTTCACAGACAAAACACAAATGTAAATGAGAGGTGGGAAAAGACAGAGTCCCTGGCTTCAGCATACCCGAAGCCACGCAGCACTGTTCTCCATATGTTCGTTTTACACACGCGCGCACGTACACACACACACATCAGGTATCCATAGCCTTGTATGCCGGGCAGATCATAACACAGTCCTCACCAGGCTGCCATTCACATAAACAACAGCGTGTAAATGGGTCTGTCGCGCTATGTAATAATAAGCAGTAAGCGCTCAACAAACAGCAGGTCCTCTTCTGCACCTCAGCGCCAACCTCATCTCTGAGAAACAGACCCACATGGGTTAGCAGATGCCCCGACGGCTTCAGCGCAGGTGACCACAGCAAGGTCAGCGGTGTGAGGAGGTTGACAAAGCTCAGCAGAGCGTCCAGTCATGGCTGGAAGAGGATGTTCCGTGTTCTTGGGCTACTCAACTGCCACCTCCAGGGGTCAAACTCCCCAGTCACGGAAAGAGGCTAATGGAGTCTGTCCTGCAAACACTCGGTGCTTGCGGAGGAAGTCTGTGACAGCTCTGGGCAGATGGTTAGCTGTGCACTTCACAGCAACAGAAGTTTCTTTCTCCGTTCATGACTGGAAAGCCTCTATCCCCGAGAGCTGCCTTCTGGGAGAAGGGCCTCCAGAGCTGAAAAGGGTCAAAGGGTCAGGTGGCCATGGCAGAGCTCCTGACCGAATGTGCTGTGGGTCACTGTGCCAGCTTTAGTTTTCTGGAGACAACGTTTAAAATGGTAAAAAGGAGAGCCAAGGCTGGTGGCACATCCCTTTTAATCCCAGCACTTGAGAGGCAGAGGTAGCCAGGTCTGTGAGTTCCAGGCCAGCCTGGTCTTCTTAGTGAGTTTCAAGACAGTCAAGAACTACCTAGTGAGACCCTGCCTCAATGAAAGGAGGAGGATGTGTCTTGAGAGATGTCTTTGTAGCTAAAAACACTGGCTGCTCTTCCAGAGAATGGGGTTCAATCTGAAGCTCCCACATAGTGGCTCACAACCTTCTATAACTCCGGCTTCAAGGAATCCAATACCCTCTTCCTGTCTCTCTGGGCACTAGGCATGTATGTGGTACACAGACATATATGCAGGCAAAACACTCGTGTGTGTGTATTGTTTTTAGATTTATATATTAAACATATATATTAAATCTAAAAACAAAAATAAATCTGGTTGTGGTGGCACATGCCTATAATCCCAACAGTCAGGAGTGTGAAGAAGAAAGATCACAAGTTCAAACTCAACCTGGGCAGCGGAGTGATTCTGTCTCAAAAGAGAAATGAAGAAATTAGAAATTAATTTTAATAACAAATTAATTTGGGCTAGGAGTATTGATTAGTGGTATAATACTTGCCTAACCTGTAAGGCCCTGGGTTCAGTCCTCAATAAAGCACAAACACACACACACACGAGCTAGGCACTTGGACGATGAGGCAGGGGGATTGCTGTGGTTTTGAAGCCAGCCTCGCTACCTAGTGACTTAGAAGATGTCCTGGGATACGGAATAAGATCTTCTCTCAAACAGCATCACCTAACAACATAGTGATCTATGTCAGTCAGTAACAGATATAAATATAGTGATACACATCACATTCTCGCTTATATATCAGGTGATCGAAACCCACTCATCCTGTGTAGCCTTGGCTGTAGCTCTGTAGACCAGACTGACCTTGAACTCACAGAGATCCACCTGCCTCTGCCTGGGATTAAAGAAGTGCGCCATCACCTGGCTCCACCAGCCACATTTAAATGTTCCTTGGCCACAGGTGTGAGCAAGGGCAGAGCTTCAGAGACAGTCCTCTGTCGCCCCCAAGTGGCAATCTCAGGAACACCACTCAAACAGCCTGGTCCTGCTTACTCAAGAGAAGTTCCAGAAGCCTTAAGGTTACATCTCTTCATCACATGGGTGGGGGGAAAGAGAGAGAGGGGAACCGGCCCCACCCACAGGTGCCAAGCTTTGCTAAAGTGCAACCTGAGGCCCACGTGAGCGCCTTCCCTCAGCAACCCTGTTCTGCTTGCAGACAGTGGGATCTGTGTCCCTTAGCACAGAGCATTCCATGACTCAAGCAGTCGGACAGAGCCCACCAAGCCAGAACCAGAAATGCCAAGGACACAGGTTACGGAAAAAGGTCCCCATAGGGGCCTGCAATTGTCATCCCTTACCATCAGTTTGTACCTCAGCATCTCAGTCTTCTCAATGTTTACTTTCATACCAGTTTGTAGACTGAGATACAACACATGGGGAGGGCGCACAAGGGCTTTAACATTGTAATAAGAGTCAGAACCTCAAGCAAGCAGCCAACTTTGTCTATCCCGGAGGAAGCTCAGTTCAAAGGAGGGAACTATTTCAGACGTCAGGAGGTGGATAGGGATAGCGAGGGCTGCATTGCAGGCACTGGGAAAGGTTTGGTCAGCAAGAGACACAAGAACAACAAAATTACAAGTACATGAGACACCTGTCTTGAGCGGCCTTCTTGACAACTCTGAAACCTGGACAATGAAATGCTTCTCAGAACAGCGGCTGAGTGTGTTTGAGATGGCGTGTCTCAGGAGGATTCTAGGCGTCGCATGAAGAGACAGGCTGCACAGCGATGGCATTAAGAGACGTCTCCTTCTACAGAAGAAAGTGAACTACAGGACACTGCAACGGCACTCGAGATGCTTCGGCCATGTTATGAGAATGAATGACGGCAGATACCTGAAGACAGCACTGCTTGGAGGAGTGCATGGGATAAAGCGAAGGAGAAGGCCCAAAATACGATGGATAGACAGCATAGAGCAAGACTGTGGAACTTGGGTATGACAATAACACAAGCATCTAGAATTGCTCAGGACAGGAACAACTGGAAAACCACCATAAACTGGTTGCCCATGCAGGCTTCAGCATTGCTGGGCATAAATGATGATGATCATCAGTTTGCCCCACCTGCATGCTGTGTTGTTTTAGGTATGCCCTTTTTGCTCCCCATCTCCCACCCTGTGTCTCCCTTCTAAAGAGCACCACCCCCTTTCTTGAGAACAAAGTTTCACTATGTAGCCTAGGCTGGCCCCCTAAACAGCACTTTTAATGGCAACCAGGGAGGATCCACAATTCTTATCCCTTCAGCGACCATGAGCCCCTCCTCATATCACAAGGAAATTAGAAGCTTGGAGAAGGTAAGGACTGAGGTCACAAGGCAAGTTGGGAAAAAATTTATTTTTCTCAGCATTGAATCTGGTGTCCAATGTCTCAGTACCTCTCCCACCCGACACCCGAATCTGAAGCGGGAAAGCCAGCTCTGATTAGTCAGGGAACTCCCGGGGTAGACACTTGAGGTTTCCTACTGTTTGTGGGCCACCAGAGAATCCTCCCCAGCCCCAAGCTTCAGGCCTGGGCCTCAGCTAGCAGAGTGCCTCTGCTGAGACACAGTTGTGAGCACAGAAAGCCCACTTCCACCTGTCTGTCCCACGGTGGGGGGAGGAGAGCAGTAGGGAACCTGTGGCAGGTACAGCAGCTGCTGCAAGTAGGCTAGAGATGGGGACACTCACCTGGGAACTTGACGACCTGGCCCCCAGAACAGCGGGAATGTTGGGAGCAGCGAGCGCAGGAATTGACAGCCTGCGTCTTACAGTACGTGCCGGACTGACACTCACAGACACGAGAAGAGTTCCAGGAACACGGAGCCTTCTCCACAAGACCTGAGGGACACAGAGAGGGTCAAGGAAGGAAAGAGGAAATCCAGGAAACCGAGGGACAGCCCAGGATGAAGGTAAGATGCTCTCTCTCAGATCCTCTGACATAATGTCTGGGAAGGCAGTGTGAGGCAGGCCTTCGCCTCTAGCCCATACACCTCACACTGCTACAGAGGTTACAAACAAGTAGATGTGGGGCTGAAGAGATGGCTCTCTAGATAAAGTGCTTGCTGGGCAAGCATAAGGTCCTGAGTTCAAATCCCCAGCACCCATGTGAAAACTGAACTGAGCAGGACGCCATATGTCTGTTGCAGAAACAGGAGGACTCCTGGACCTGGCTGGCCAGCCAATGGAGGTGAATCAGTGCGTTCCAGTGAGAGGCGAGGCTCTGTCTCAAAAACTAAGCTGGAGAGAAAGATTGAGGAAGACAGCTGGCATCAGCCTCTGGCCTCCACACACACATACAACGTGTACACGTACAAAAATAAATAATGAGGACTGCAGAGATAGATCAGAGGTTAAGAGCACTGGCTGCTCTTCCAGAGGTCCTGAGTTCAATTCCCAGCAACCACGTGGTGGCTCACAACTGTCTGTATTTGAGATCTGCTGCATAAAGGCAGAACGCTGTATACATAATAAATAAATAAATATTTAAAAAGATAAATAAAGAAATAATGTCCCAGGACCTGGAGGGAACCGAAGTACACGTCGCTGTGTGACAAGCCATTCCGGAAAGGCTTTACATCGTGATTCCATGGGTCTCCTGCAAAAGATCAGGTTCTGACTATAGAGGCAGGAGGGCCAGCAGTGGTTGCCATGGTGAAGAGGATGGGAGGATAAACTCCAGAAGCATGAGGAGTTTTAGGAAGTGCACTGTATGTTCTGGGTGCAGACACACACTGCCCATTGTTAAACCCACAGCATGCTCCCCCCACCAGCTGAATCAGGGTGATGATGTACTTGGCAACACAATATCCATACGCACTCATCCCCTGTGCTGGGGTCGGACTATGAGAAGGTCCCCTCTAAGAGAGATGGCTGAGTGGGTAAACCGCTTGCTATGTACACACAAGGACTTGAATTTCATATCCAGAACCTATGGTTTATGAGATGGGGAGTGAAGGGATGGAGAGATGGTTCAGTGGTTAAGGCACTGTTTGCCTAACATGCTCAAAGCCCTGCATACAATTCCCAGCCCTGAATGAACCAGGCATGCAATGCACACCTGTGATCCCAGCACTCAGGACATGGATGCAGAAACACACACATAAATGAGAAAGAAAATATAATCCTACAAAAAGAACTTTGTAAGCAATAAACAAATGCATAAATCGGGCAGTGGTAGCGCATGCCTTTAATCCCAGTACTCTGGAGGCAGAGGCAGGCGGATCTCTATGAGTTCAAGGCCGGCCTGGTCTACAGAGTGAGTTCTAGGGCAGCCAAGGCTACCCAGAGAAACCCTGCCTCGGAAAACTAAGACCAAAAAAGAAAAAAGACATTGAAAACTTTAAAACATATGATTATTAGGTTTCAAAAAAATCTCAACACATTGTCCAACCTAACCACACCCCTAAGCCCACACAAAACCAAAACACCAGACCCCATCACTAAACACAAATGATTAACATAAGAAGAACCTGTTCCAAGAACTTTCCTGGAAGCATCCTGGTCTTCGAGAAGGATGATGAAGGACTTGGGAAATGGCAACTCCTGTCGCCAGACCACCAGCTCAGACTCTGCCTCCACCATTTGCCAAGTTCCCCAGCTCCAGGAAGACCCTTCACATGATCCCCAGATTCCTCACTACAGAAATGACCTAAGAAAAGAGTCCTCCCTAGGGCCATTGGGAAGGCATGAGTCCTCCCTCCAGGGAGCACACTAGGTCTCTCTGAAAAGCATGGATGCAAAAGATGACTGCTAATATCAATTCTCAAATCCAGAGAGGTAAATTGAGGCACCAGGGGACTGAATCCTGATACTTCCTGCCTCTCAGATACATGCCAGGGAAAGAGGACAGGTTCTTACCTTTCAAACAGGTCACGCAGGCTGTACAGTGCCCATCCTCATTCACGTAGTGGTCGGGATCACATTGCTTCCTGCAGTGGGCAGGGCCCTGTGGGCATGGCTGTGTTGGAGACAACCCTGGAAAAAGCAGCAGAGAAGTTCTAGGCTAGGTCACCTTGATAATGAGCTGGCCTTCCATTCTCCATCTCTCATACCTAAACCCCATGGTTGTATCAGATAACCCTCATGTTACAGATGGAAGCATTGGGCCTCCCTGGAGGTCACTAAGCCAGCAAAAGGAGTGACCCAGGTGCAGGGGAAAACTTGGATCTGGCATTCCTGGGATGCCACCTGACAAGGGGTGGCCTCAGACAACCGCAATGACTTTCGCACTAATAAGATCGGTTTCTCCTAGCACTAAAATGATGAAAGGGGCCGTGGAGGTCAGCAAACACGGGCTGCGTGCTGGCTGTCACTCTCAGCAGCGGTCCAGAGCCTCTGAGGGAATTGAGAGGACTATAGGCAGTCAAGACTGTGAAGATCCTGACCCAAGCTGTGAGAGGCCCTGGAATCACCCAGCAATCTTCCTCCCATCCTCCGAGGACTGGAGATAGAGGCTGATGATGCTGAAGTGGGGGGATAAATGAGGAATGGGCATCCCCCACCTGCACCCCCACCCGCACCCCAATATCTATTCTGCCAGAGTCTGCCAGGTTTCTTCAGGGACGATTCCCACAGCCTGGGCACAGAATGAGCACTTGACTCAAACGGACCAATCAGAACACTTCATTCATCCCATCATGTAACTCCAACAAACCAATCAGAGCGTGCCATCTTTCTCACCAACTGTGATTGGCTCAACCTGACCATGACCAATAAGCCCCATCTCTGAGCATGTTCACACAAGGTGTTCTGGTTTTACCACTGAATTTCTGGAAGAGGTGGGCTTGGTGGCGTATTCCTTTAATCACGACTAGGAGTTAAATCTCAGTATCTGAATTCCGTTGAAATACCGCCAGGATTGCTGTGTCTGTCTCCAGCCACCATTGAGTCCCTGCTGCAGAGCCTGGCTCATATTTGGTGAACCCAGATTCTGCCGACTTCCTGAGTAAAGCTGGAGAGATGCCAGGCTCTTCCCTACCCCTACCCTATACAAGGCCTGGAAGGAAAGGGTAAGGGCTCAGGATTCTTTATTTTAGCCCAGGCTGAGCTTACTAGCTCAGTGGGTGAATCCAAGAACCCTTCTATATCCAGGCTCTGTCTCTGGGTTCCTATGAGGTTCAAGCGCTGACATAGGTAAAGAACCAGGCCTCCATTGTAGTGCCCTGGTCCATCGGTAAGTACCATTGCTCATAGCATGAGGCAGAGTGAGCTTGTCGTAAGCAGAGAACTGGGTAGTGGCTGTCAGGAGTGTCGAAAGGCCTTGCGGACCTACGTAAGGCGAGACGTTGCCATGGGGCGACCTCTCAAACTTAAAGGTCTCCCAGCTTCCTTCCTCCACCGGCCCACCCACGTGCAAACGCTGCCACACAGCTGAGCGCTGATTTGAGAAGTCAGACAAAATGTCAGAAATTTCCCCAAAACACGGAAGGAGGGGGTTTTTGGTTTTCCTTTGTGGCTTACCCGGAAGCACAGAGTCAATAAAACTCCAGCAAAATGCCCCGCCCACCACCCAGGCCTGAGGTACGCAGTTACTTCAGCACAGGGCCTGAGAGAGGGCAAGTGGGAGGAAGGAGCAAGCCGTCAGGCACAGCTGTTAGGTGGAGGAAGCCTAAGATGGAGGCGTCATGCTCGCAAATTCGTGTCTTTCTGCGAGGGACCTGTGGCCACGGATGTCACAATACATTGAGGCCACAGCTCGCTGTGGGCAGAAGGGTGAAAAGCGCTGAGAAAAGAGGTGTGGAGGTGTGGGAACCAGTCGCCTGCAGCAAAGGAAGGGTCTCAGAGCTGCAGCAGGGCTGAGATGGCAGAAAGGGACACCCAGGGGAAGGAGACAGGCATAGCCAGAAGACCAGAGGCCTGGGAACGGACGAGGGGGAAGGAGACAGGCATTGCCAGAAGACCAGAGGCCTGGGAACGGACAAGGGGGAAGGAGACAGGCATCGCCAGAAGACCAGAAGCCTGGGAACGGACGAGGGGGAAGGTGCAACCTCTTCCAAGAGCAGGCAATGAACTCATATTGGACTGAAGGACAGGTGGGCGGAGGAAAGAAATGAGGAAGAGTGGGTGAGAGTCTGGGGCGGGGGAGGGGGGAGATGCTGTAAATTAAAATAACCCCCCATAATGAAACCCTTAGCTTCAATGGAACTATTTGGAGAGACAATTTTAGGAGCTCGCTAAGGATATAGGAGCCCTAATCCCATAGGATGGGTGTGGGGGCCTCTATAAAAAAGGGAACACATATGGTAGGAAAGTGGACAGGTCAGGCTGCAAGCCCGGAAGAGCTCTTCAGCTCTCCATTTTCTAACCAGAGGGAAGTAACAGCCTGGAGGAGCCCAAACACAAGCTAGATGGGGGAGGCCAGTAGGGGGAGGGGAAGGACCCGAGAGAAACCCGGTGTCATAGTACAGGCCTGCCATCCCAGCATCCAGGAGGCAGAGGTAAGAGGATCAGGAGTTCGAGGCCAACCTCTGCTACACACAAAGTTCAAAGCCAACCTAGACTCGATGGGACCCTGTCAAGTTGTCGTAAAAAAATGGTGGCAAGAACATTTAAATTTTGTTTTTATTTCCGTGTATGTGTACTTATGAGTGCATGTCATGTGTGTAGATACCCTCAGAGGCCAGAAGAGGGCGTCAGGCCCCCTAGAGATGGAGTTCACAGGCAGTTGTGAGCTGCCTCATGAGGGTGTTGGAACTGAACTTGGGTCCTCTGGAAGAGCAGGCAGTGCTCTTAACCCCTGAGCCATCTCCCAAGCCCCACAAAAAACATTTTAAACTCATTTTTGGGGATAGTCACTATTAAGTTCTTTCTCAAATACTTCCTCCGGTAGCTTGTGAAAGACTGGAGTCCCACGGGGCGTTCAGAGAACACAGGTCTAAGAGCAGCTGTCAATGATCTCCAGCCCCAATGAGCTGTACAGTACTGCCGGTCCCCACCTACCCACAGGAAGCCCTCCAGACACAGTGCCTGGCTCTCATGCCTTGTCCTAGAAGCAGCGGGCAGTTACACTGAGCCAGTGACAGAGACTTCCTCCCACCCTCGACTTTCATAGCTAAAGTCTCTCTTGCAAATAGACATCTATTCCTGGGGCTCAGATACCACACCACGGCTTCACCTCATACCCCAGCCACCAGTGGCCCCCACATGGGTTTAGGACTTTTAATATAGTCACAGGGGACCAAAATACTTCATAATCCTTTTCTAATCTTCAGGCCCGAAGAATGTTCCAGAAGGATTTCCTGACGTTCTCCCAGAATTCATGCTATGCGAGGGCTGGGTGAGCATTCCGGGAACCCAGCAATCGTTAGGCAAACCCTGTTCCCCAGAAAGTTGCAGCCCGGAGCAGGCTGGGACAAACACTTGTCCTGGCTTGGAACAGACAAGAACTGTGAAGATCAGGGCGAGGTGGTGTGCGGCAGACCCAGCACTAAAGATGCTGAGACAGAGGGATAGCAAGTTCAAGATCAACCTGAGCTACAGATCGCAATCAGGGCCAGCCTGGGAAATTTCGTGAGCCCCCATCACAAACTAAAAAATGAAGAAAACTAGAAAATTGTCACGGGTATAGCTCAGCGGTTAAGAGCAATTGCTGCTCTTGAAGAGGACTCAGATTCAAGTCCCAGCACTCACGTGGTGGCTCACAAACACCTGCACCTCTAGTTCCAGGACATCGGACACCCATTCTGATCTATGCAAGACTTGCATGCACATAGTGCATATACATACATGCAGGCAAAATACTCATACACATACCCAGCACTCGGGAGGCAGAGAGAGGTGGATCTCTGTAAGTTCGAGGCCAGCCTGGTCTACAAGGGCTAGTTCCAGGACAGGAACCAAAAGCTACGGAGAAACCCTGTCTCAAAAATCAAAAAAAAAAATACTCATACACATAAACTGAAAAGAAAATTTAAGGGTGGTGGGGGGAACGAAGAGAGAAGAGAAGAAAACAAGGAATTGCAAAGGGCTTCCGAACTCCAGAAATGACAACTGGTCATGGTCACAGGGGATGTTGGCTGTTGAGACTCTGAGGTCACAAATTCCTGGGCTCTACCCCCAGCCAATCCTGCCACGCCACAGCTCTAAGACCCTGGGAAAATCTCTGAACTGGCTGAACCCCAACAGTCCCATCTGCAAAACAGAATCAATGCTTAACACGGGATGTTAGGTCCCAAACCTGGTACAAAGGGCTAAGGTGCCTATTAACATATCAAAGAGGACCTGGCCACCAGGTTCTCCAGCATCCCTCAGACCCTACCTGTTACAGGGTATGGCAGGCATGCCCCAGTCTACCCGAACTCTCCAGCCCATCGGCTGGGCTACCCTTCCCCCTGAAGCTCTTCCCTATGTAATCCAGACGTTTTGGTTACTGCCCCTTTTCTACCTTCCGTCCTCTTGGCTGCTACACCTGGTTCCCCTGTCTGCCTTCTCCCTTCCTCTCCCCTCTCTCCTCAAATGGCCCAGCTCGGGGTCATGCCCACTCTGGACTCTCCCAGATGTCTCTGTCTCTGGCTATGCTTTCTCCCGTTTATCTACAACAGACTTTCTCCTCCACCATCATGGCCTTTCCTTTTCATTTCTTTATTTTTATTTTCCCATTCAGACCACAGTTAAGTAAGCAGGAAGTCAGCATGGCAGCTGGGCTGCTCGTGGCTAGGACCCTGCTGCATAGGCAACCCCAAAACCTCAGAAAGGGTCTCACATCCTTGTGGCGGCGGCAGAACCTAGCCTGTGAGGTAACCAAGCTTGCTCTTCCTCAGACCCTGTGACATTAAGGTGCCCTTGGACACCTGAAACAAACCATGACCATGTCTGCTAGCTTCTATCCCGCTCCTCCCAACCCCCACCTTGTCGCAAGTCGCCCATGAGGGTCAGACATCAAAACAAGGAACCTATGTCCTGCCCTCAGTACCCCACTCACCTGAGGGGCAACGGTGACAGCAGCTCCCCACAGCCTCCCCAGGGTTGTAGCTGAGAACTCCAGCACAGGTGCTCTTGAGCGGTCGATCCTGGAGGGTCAGGGAAACAGATGAGACAAGGCCAGACTTTAACCTCAATGCCACCCTGCAGTCCCAGGAGGCATGGTGTCCACTCACTGTCAAGGCCAGGCTGAGATTATTGTCACAGAGGTCAGGAAGAGAATCCCTGACTCAGCACCTCCCCCAAGAAGCTAATGGCAGCTTACTTGCAGATGGAGCACCCAGGAATCTCTGTGCCCTCCTCTGCTTGTGGCCACCTCCCCCACCCCAACACCAGTCCGTTCTCTCTACCGTCAACTCAGCAGCTACAACCGGTTCCACCTGGCACACCCCTCCAGGGGACTAACAAGCCTCTCACCCTGTCTCTGGAGATGAGTTCAGCAGTCAAAACATCTGGTAAAGCTGGGCAGTGGTGGTGCACGACTTTAATCCCAGCACTCGGGAGGCAGAAGCAGACAGATCTCTCTGAGTTTGAGGCCAGCCTGGTCTACAAAGCTGGAATTCCAGGACTGGCTTCAAAAAGCTACACAGAGAAACCCTGTCTTCAAAAACAAAAACAACAACAAAACCCACATCTGGTAGAGAGACATATGGGTTGAAGTTCTGCATACCCAGATGGATAAGGGCTCAGTTTCCACAGACAGAGCCTCACCTATACCCGGCCTACTCAGACACCCTCTCTGGAAAGAGCATTAACCCACCTCTGCATCCGCTAATAAGTTCTGTCTGCTCTTGAGTTTGACATAGGTCAAACTGCCCAGTCTTTTCTTTGCAACTGGCTTTTTAAAAAAATCAGTGTACAAAGAATGGGTTTTGTTGGTCATCGTGGCACATACTTGACTCCCAGCACTGGGGAGGCAGAGACAGGCTGATCTCTGTGAGTCCAAGGCCAGCCTGGGCTACATACTGAGTTCCACGACAGCCAGGGCTACATTGTGAGAAACCCTGTCTCAAAACAAAAACAAAAAAGAAAATAAAATGTTTTATACGCAAACATGATTATATCACTTGCTATAATTCTCTGCTATAGCCAGCTGCTTTTTAAAATCTTTGTGTGTGTGAATGCACATGCCTGGAAGTCAGAGGAGGACATCAGGTGCCCTGCTTTATCACTGCCTGCCTTATTCCCTTGGGAACAGGTCACTGAGCCCAAAGCCAGGTCAGCATACAGCAGGCCCCAGCAGCCTTCCTGTTTCTTCCTCCCACAGTGTTGGAGCTCCGGGCACTGGTGACCACACCAGCTTTTTTTTTAATATTTATTTATTTATTATGTATACAATATTCTGTCTTTGTGTGTGTCTGCAGGCCAGAAGAGGGCACCAGACCTCATTACAGATAGTTGTGAGCCACCATGTGGTTGCTGGGAATTGAACTCATGACCTTTGGAAGAGCAGGCAATGCTCCTAACCACTGAGCCATCTCTCCAGCCCCCCACACCCAGCTTTTTAAGTGGGTTCTGGGGACCTGAACCCAGCCCCTCATGTTGTACAGCATATGCTCTTCCCCATTGAACCGTCTCCCCAAGCCCCCACCTTCAGCCTCTTTAATTCGGTATTAGGTTTCAAGAACCATTCACTTTTTTGGAAGTCAACAATGCCCATGGCCTTGCCATATGGCTCCCGTGTGTCTGTTTCACTCTAGATAGACAATGGGTTGTTTTCGCCTTTTAGTTGCCAATGCTAATGCTGCTCTGTGCCCCCACCCCCACCACAGACAGGGCACTCTGGGTCACAGTTAGTTAGAGCTGTCCTGGAACTCACTCTGTAGACCAGGCTGGCCTTGAACTCACAGAGATCCGCCTGCCTCTGCCGGATTAAAGGTGTGCGCCACTACTGCCCAACTTGTTTTTTCTTTAAAGACAAAGTCTATATGTAGCACTGTCTTAGAATGTCATTTTTAAACTATTATTATTATTGTTTATTCTTCTCTCATACAATACATCCAGACTACAGCACCCTTTCCTTTCCTTCTCCTGCTACCCAGATAAAAACAGCCCTCCCAGGGGCATCAATCAAAGAGGCCACAAGATGCAACAAGACCAAGCAACCCAGTAGGAGAAAAGGGGTTCCAGTGGCAGGCAAAAGAATCAGAGACACCCCAACTCCCACTGTCAGGAGTCCCCCTCAAAACACCAAGCCAACAACCAGAACATACATGCAGTGGGCCTAACACAGACCCACATAGGCTTTGTGATTTTCAGTCTCTGTGAGTGCCCATGGGCCCTGCTTAGTTGATTCTGGGGCAAACTCAGCCCCTCTGGCTCCCACAATTCCTCCTCCTCCTCTTCCTTAGGGTTTCCCAATCACCAAGGGGAGAGACCCATTGGAGACCTCCAACCTGGGCTCTCTCACTGCCTAATGTTTGGCCTTGGGTCTATCCATCTGATCCCATAAGTCTCTCTGATGACGACCGGACTCGGCACCCATCTCTGGGTACAGCAGAAGATCTGTCTTAGAAGTTCTATGCAGACCCGGCTGGCCTTGAACTCACAGAGGTCCACCCACCTCTACCTCCTGAGCTCTGTGATTAAAGTGCTAGCCTATGTACCCATTTCTAAATACAGCCACAATGAAATGAGTACCAGCTCCAACAGACTGGAATCCAAGCTCCTTCCTTTCTTCCCCAACCCCCTTTTCTTTTCTAGGTAGACTTTCATGTCGATCAGGCTGGCCTCAAATTCACCATCCACCAAGGATAATTTCCTGGTACTCCCGCCCCGACCTCCCAAGCTCTGGAATTTTAGGCAAGTTCTAAGTTGGGACTGAAACCCAGGGTCCCAGGCATGCTGGGCAAGCACTCTACCAACTGAGCCGCACCCCTAGCCTGATTCCCCATCTGATTTTTTTTTTTTTTTTTGTCAAGCACCTGCACCGGTTGTCACTTAGCCGCAGCGTGTGAGGCTGCCATCTGTCCTTCACGCTTGCTGACACTTAACGCTGTACGCCAGTTAACGGTGAGCAAGTGCTGGTTACCGAAGCCGCCTTTAAACTGCAGTGGTAGTTCTGGTGGGGGTGTGGTGGTATGGCTTCTTTGCATTTCCCTCATGAGTAACACCAGCCTCACTTGTTCTTGGAAATAAACCCCTGCAGCTTTCTAGAGTTCTCCAAACCATCAGCCCTGCCATGAGATGGGCTTAGTCACGGCTAACACTGGTTTTCAACTTGACAGCATCTAGAACTGACCAGGAGACAAGCCTCTGAGCACATCTGCAAGGAACTTTCTAGATTAGGTTAATTTTGGCTTGGGAAGACACACCCTCAGTGTGACCAGCACCCCCGGGGGTGGGGATGGGAGGCAGAGAAAGAAAGGTATTTCTGGAACTGCAGAGAGCATCACCAGGGTCACTGTGGCTGGAAGGTGGCTATGTGGGTGTTAGCTACATATTTTTTTTTTGACACATCTGAAACCATGTAGCCATACTCACTGAAATGTTAAATATAGCCTACCATGTAGCATACAGTTAGGGCTGGGTTGTAGCTCAGCGGTGGAGCTCTTGCCCCGCATGTGTGAAGCCTGGGTTCCGACTGCAGCAGCTAGGAAGAGACTCGGAAGAGCAGCTAGCTGTGAGACATTCGCACAGCACAGTCGGGAGGCGCAGGGTGTCTCTGCTCCCATTTTGTCCGGGTTCCTTCAAGCAGCCTTCCTTTCTCCTCAGGTCACTAAGGGCTCCCAGAAGCCTCCAGACAGCAACTGGGCAGCACCAGCTGCAGTTCCCTGGTGAGCAGCCGCTCCCTGAGTGTACACAGAAACCTGAGGTAGACCGAGCTGAGCTGTCGGGACTCGGCCCTGTGGGGCCTGCAGAGTGTGGGAAAGTTCTCTGTCCTTGCCCTGGGTTTTCCCTCCTGGCCTGCCTCAGCATCTCACTGATAGCTAAAGAGTCTGAGAGTGTGGCGTGTGGCCCTGGGCCTGGAACATCTGAGAGCCACCTGTCTTCATACCTCCCTGCTGTCCTTCCCTGGGTCTGTGGCGGTGTGTGTGTGTGTGCGCGCGCCGCGTGTCACTCCTCCAAACCCAGCCTGCTTTCCACCAGCTCCTGCTCTACAAATAAGGAAACTATAGCCTAGAGAGGCACCGCTGTCTGCCCAAACTCACACAGCGACCAAGAGCCAACGGGAGAGTCAAGTATTGCCATGTCTCATTTTCTCCCTTCTCAACCATAGTTCAGTGTACCAGACAGGGCAACGTATCACCCCGTGGTCCACATCAAATCATGATCCAAAGTCAAGGGACTTCCTGCAATTTACTCATTTTTAAATGTCGGTGTAGACACTGAAGAATTGGGTCAGTTCTTACTACTCAGCTGGGTGGTGGTGGCTCAAACCTTTAATCCCAGTACTCAGAGGGAGGCAGAAGCAGGCAGATCTCTGAGTTTGAGGCTAACCTGGTCTATGAGTGAGTTCCAGGACAACCAGGGCTACACAGAGAAACCCTGTCTCAGAAAAAAAAAAAAAAGCAGTGACTACTCTATGATGCGGATCAGAGTTTAAATCCTAGACCCGCATCAGTTGACTCACATAAATAATAATAAAAATATCACTTCAGAGCCGAACATGCTGGCATGTACCTGTAATCCAGCTCTCTAGAGGCAGACGCTGTAGGATTAATGCTTCGGGGTCTCCTCAACTATGTATATCAAGTTTAAGGCCATTGTGGGCTACTAAGACCCTGACTCAAAAGGTTAAAAAAAAATTTCATGCATATAGTTCCATCTAAGGAGACAGAGGCAAAAGGATCACAAATTCAAGTCCATCCTGGGTACTTGGTGGAGATAAGGTGAGATTTTTATCTCAAAATAAAAGGATTTGGGGTCACGGCAGAGGGTTGGGGGTATAGTTCAGCAGTAGAGTGCCTGCCTAGAATGAGTGAGTCCCTGGGTTTAAGGCCCAGCACCATTAAACAAACAAACAAACCTCAGTATCTGAATTACAGGCTGCTCAGGAATGGGAGGATGGAGAGCGCCCTAACGAACATTATTTGAGTAACCGGTAGAATTATAATGCGTGCTCTTTGTTTGGCTTAGCTTGTTGACA